CATAAGGGATTTGGCTTAGATTATACCTGCTGCATACATAGGGAAGCTCTAGTTGTACCAAGTGGGAACCACTGCTGTAGACCAACTTGACTGCTGCCGACACGACTAAACAACTAAACGACGACGACGCATACATAGGGAAGCTCTAGTTGTACCAGGTGGGAACCACTGCTGTAGACCAGCTTGACTGCTGCCATTGGTGTTGTCAATATTCAAGATGCCCTTTGCTTTGTAAACCTTGGCATCGTTGTTTTTGTGGCAACATGAGCACAATATTGTACAGCAATGTTGGGCCATTTTCTACCTATTTGGATTGTTGATATCAAAGCACAATAACCCATATCCATAAAGCAGAGGTGTTCTTGAAGAATTGAATGACATTTTTTTTAAAAAAAAACTGCACTGGAATACTGAAATTTAAAAGCACATTAAATTGATCTCATTTCCATTTTACATTTCTGCAAGGTGTCCATTTGCTTCCAAAGTGTGTACATAGGGTTCTTCTCTTATGAAAGGGAAACATTTGATACGCTTGTTGTATCTTTTCATGCACCTTAAGCTGCATGATTGCACACCTGTATTTAAATGAGAGTGGTTCCTGAATAAATATCAACAAATAAGAAACCGACAAGGGTCCCTGCATTATTTTGTATCTATTTTCTTTGGCATAAATTCAAAAGCCATGATCTCAACAATGAATATTTTATAGAAAATTATGTGTTGTTCCAAAATAGACAAACATGCTCTCTCTCGCTCTCTCTCTCTCTCACACACACACACACACACACACACACACACAGACACCACACACACACAGACACAGACACACCACACACACAAATACAAAATTGTCCTTCCCCGCCAGAAATAGTTTTCTGCTGATACTTTTGTTCGCAGAGCTCTGGGGTGCCTGGGAATAGTGCTCACATAAGCATGACTACTTTCAAACAGGTCAAAGATATTCTGAAGCAGCAGGATTTTATGAATATTTCATGAATAGCTTAAGTTAGAATTTTAGGATTTTTTTTTTTAAAGGCGAGAAAGTAGGTCAAACATGCCTGGTTTGAGTATTTTGCTTGCCTAAAATGCTGAACACCCAGATACAGTATATTTTTCAATGCTGAACAAGATGTAGCATTTATTTATTTTTTAATGTACCCTGTTGTGTGCAAAGCAATTTCAACTGTAAATGTTCTGAAGTGGCACATTCTGTAAATGTTGGAAATGCTACAAAGATGACTGCATAAGAAATCTGGACTTGGAAGAAGCCCCAGTTTATTACTCCTCCTTAGCACAACTCACTTTGATTTTGGCAGGGGAATGGGGTTACATGTTGCAATGTAGAACAAACAAGAAAAATTATTGTGGTCTTTATGACATGATTAATTCCTGTGTTTAGCACTTTAAATATTCTCAATGTCTTTAAAATGTAACAGTGCTTTTGTCATGTAATAAAAGCCAAGTCACAATTTTTCCAGCTATTTCATCCCATATTTTCTGTTTGCACTTTGTTAATTCTGTGTCTTTTGTTTTGTTCTGCTTGTTTGGGTAGCACTTCCATTTTCTGAAAGAAATACCCCTTTTCCCTACTAATACTAACACAGTTTGTTAATCATAGTGTTGACTTTAAATATTCCAGAGAAATTTGATTTTCTTTACTTGTTCTTGCTTTCCTTTTTACCAGTTCATTTATTTTAAAAATAAATCTCTGTGCCAGTGGTAGACTTCATTGTCAATTCCATGTGTGTATTTGAGTGTGTGTTAAACCTGATCGGACCACTTTCACAGTTAAGTCCACAATTAGTTGTTCTAGGTCCTGAGCAACACTTAGGATCCAGGATCAAATGTATCCAGCAATGACTGTATTTAAAAAATCAAAAACAACAACAGGAGCAGCACCTTTACTCCACCACCCTCTCTCTCTTCTCTTTTACCTCCCTACGATGATGATGATAGCTGTGATGACAACACTGGTTGGTCTACATTTATCTCTCACATTTGGTTCTAAGCAACACTCTTTACCAGGCTTAGAAACCCATTCATCACACCCTCTCCGCTCTGATCTCTTTCTCCTTCCTAACCTAAAAAATGGCTGAATGAGGAAAGCACATAAGTAACTGTAGGACCCAGGAACACCGGGTTTGAATTCCCATTTGGTCATGGAAACTCACTGGTAATTTTGCTCACGGTAAAATCACTCCTTAAATATTTCACTAAGCTTAAAAGCCTTATTAGGGTTGATATAGTTCAGTGCCTACTTGATAGCACATAACACACATACACACGCATAGCATGGATAATATTATCTAAGTTCAAATAGTTCACAGCCTTGGCTTGATGTACAAGATCCTACTGCCCACACATCAAACTTTCTCAATTCCCCCCTTTCTTTCTTTGTAACACATACTACTGGCCAGAATTCAGGATTTGGTCAATAAATCTTTAAATATGTATATCTCTGTTATTCCTTTATGTTTTGTAAAATTCCCTATCCAGAGAAAGTTAAAAATTCAAACATAGTATGTTTTAAGATACTTCATATGGCCTAATAAATGAATGTGCAGTAAGATTTTTGGCCTCAGACAAATCTATCCGTTTAGCCTTCTCGTGGTGTGCAATTTAGAGCTAGAATTTAAACAGCCAAATAACAAAACACAGAAGACATTGCTAAGTATCTTTTTTGTTGGGTTTGCTAAAAAGGATTTACAGTTGTAAGGGGCTGCTGCAGAGTTAGCTATCAAGAGATTCTTCCTTCATGCTTGATATGTAGATCTAATCTATGTGTCATCGTAATTGCTTCACAAAGCCTCATCTTCTTTGCAGTTCTGGCCTCTATAGGTTTAGGGGTTTAACTGAAGCCAGATTGGGAAGTATAATAGAGGGTTCCTATCCTGGGTGTTAGCATCTCAGATTACTGGCTGGATTCTATTACAGTACATTACCAAAAAGCCCTAAACTGTTACAGTACTTGGACTCTTCCCCTTTCAGCCCCTTCCAAAAATATTAAAAAGTTACAGCTAGCTCATTTAGTTGCCAGTACATCTAATTCTTCCCACAGATGTTTTCTGTACAACTGCACTTTTTCACATCATCACATTTTATTTTGTATGCCCTTTTAATGTCCACATTAGAATACTGCTTCACTTTTTCAGACAAGAGTGCTGATGACAAAGAACAGAAAGCTCAAGAGTTGTTTAACTCCCATTTATTGTACTTACATTTTTCACTTAAAATTTAACTGAATGTGTTGACTATCTTATTTGGTAAACACTCGTTTTAGATTTTGGGAGTGTGGAAGTTAACTACAATTTCTATAGTACTGAGTTAGCGTGGCCACTGTTCATGCTTTCTGCAGGATTGTGTGTAGTTGCAGAGTAGCTTTTCCAAATTCTCATCTTTCTGAGGAGGACACAGAATGATGGTGATGTGTTACTCTTCCGAAGTTTGCATTCTTAAATTGATTTTGATTAAGCAGCCAAGTTGTTCTAGTAGATGTATTTAGATTTAAGATACAGTCATACATGTTTTCTCTGCTTTTTTTATCTTTTCATTTCAGTGGTTAGGGCTGGCTGGCTGCCCCCACCTCCGCCTGCTCTACCTCCTAGGCCATTGATATCACAGGTATGTATAACACTTCATGAGAAATTTGGTTCTGTGCCTTCTTTAAAATGGGCAGATGGCATTGGAAGAGTGTCTAGATAGATTGGAGGCAATCTTTCATATCTCATAATCCTACCGTGTAGTTGAGACAGAGGAAATACTGGTTACTAGAGAGCTCCATAAAGGGCAGTAAAATATAGCATAAACATTCCCTGATGGTTGTCAGAATAATAACAGCATTGTGGGACAAAACACTAGATTATTTTAACTAAAATTAATAATTCTGCTATAGCAAGCTATGAAAATGGAGCTGATGTAGATCATGTAAGCAGATTCTGACGTGTGATATGACATTTAATTGCACTGTGCTGTGTATTACAAACACAGATGTTTCCCTCTCTCTCTTACATCCACGGGTGTCTTACTTACACATCATAATATTTCTACACCTTAAGCTGCTGATGTAGTTTAAGGTGTAGAAAGCACTGGAATTCAGCTGTATAATCCGTAACAAGCTTTCTGAGATTACCATTAGTACATTTATCTCTGAATGTTCCCATCCTTCTTGTGCAGTAAGAGTTAATTTGTTTTCATTTTTTATCTACTTGCTGAGGCATTTTGATGTATAGTATTTAGGTATACTAAGTCAAATGTCTGTCATTTTTGCAGTTTCAGTCCCCTTCTTTGTGTTTACATACATAGCACAATTCAGTATTTCAGAACTGTGCTCAGTTGTTTATTTATTTATTAAACTTGTATCCCACCCATCTAGACAGCATCTACTCTGGGTGGCTCACAACAAAATAGAATAAAAAACAATTAAAAATATCAACAACAATTTCACAGCAATAAGCATATCATTCAAAATAAGAGACAGATCAGGTGGTGCCCAGAGGGAAGGCCTGCCTAAATAGTCAGGGTTTGAGTTGGCTTTTGAAAATACCCAGCGAAGGGGC